ATAAATAAATAAATAACTTGAAAAATAAAAAGGTCCAGGGAATAAAAGAAAAATTGTTTTATATATGGTAAAACAGTCGTTGGTGACATTATACATCACACAACTCCTGGCAGCCACCTACCAGTTCCGATTTGAGCACGAGAAGAGCTTGGTCTATCCTCTCCCCAATATTCTTGGATTTCGAGGGAACAGTTTTCACGTCATCCTCTCCGCTGGACGAGACCGATGAAGAGTTTCCAGACTCTCGTGTCGTGAAGCCTGTTGTTGGAGACGCCACAGTACGAACGCGTGTGTTCAGATTACCACCTGTTTGTTGCTTCAAATGCAACAGCGTTTTCGGCCGCTCCACAAGGATGTTTGGTCGGTAGGCAGCATTATTGTTCATGACATCGGTTTCAGTCCGAATCTCTGGAACCGAGAAACTGTTGTTGTTATTGCTATTGTTGCTGTTGTTGCTGTTGTTGTTGTTGGTATCATGTCGATTCCGATTGTCTGTATTGAAGAAGACTTGATCGGAGTCCTGTCTCTCGGTCTCGTCTTTGACCACGACTTCCGTGCACGTCGATGACGTCATTTTCTTTGAGGGCATGTGGGTACTGTCCCTTTCCACAACTCGGATGACAGTGTGGGGTATTGGGTTCACTGTTGAAGTCACAACCGCGGTGTGCACAACCGATTCTACAGAAGTGTTTGTGGCACTTTTGGTTTCAGCAACTGATGTTTCAAACCTGAGGTTAACTTTTCCATCTTCTCTGTTCAAGGAATTCATATCGCACTTTCCACTTCCAACATTCCCGTGAGAAGGTTTGGCGTCCGTTTCGTTTCTGACGTGGCTGTGAGAACGAGAATCACTCTTCCCGCTAAGGTCGTTGCTATTTAAACAAGTCACATCCGTTTCGCTATCAATATTGCTGAATGAAGTGTTCTTTTTAAACACAGTTGCGTTGCTGGAAAATTCATTCACACGTACCGTTGCTGGCGTTGGGACAGGGGCAACTACAGGAGCCTGCGGGGTTCTATCAAAGTCAACTTTGGACGTTCCCACCGCAAGCCGAATCTTTTCATCATCGCTGTGTAGACAATTGACATTCTTTTCACTTTCCGCTTTGCTGTGTAAACTATTAGCCTCCCTTTCGTTTCCAACATGGCTGCTTGAGCTGACGACATCATTGTCGTTTTTATGAGTGTTCTGAGAGCTAACTACATCCTTTTCAGTTTTGATAACTCGTTGTGAAGAAATGTTGTCTTTCTCAAACTCAAATTTGCTTTGTGAATGTAAGTTAGCTTTCTCGGATGGATCCTCTTTTCGTGAACCTCCTTCGAGACAAGAAACAGTTGATGACGTAACGATGGCTCTGACTGAAGATTTTGGGTCACGCTCATCACAATCAGGATCTACCATAGACATTTTCACAATGAACTTTACAGCACCGATTTCGTTTTGTGAACGAAGGTGACTCTTTTTGTTTTCAACGTCGCTATTTGAGCTATCCGTCAGTTTTCTTTGGTCGACGTTGTTGTGTTCTCGAGTGGAACCCATTTCATGCCCAGTGTAGGTAAACGAATTACTGGCGCCTTTTTCAGGAACCGTACCGCCTTTCGAAATACAATTCAAACGTTCCACTCGCGAACTTACGACTGACGACGTTTTAGAAGCTTTATCTTTGCAAACTGACGGAGTATCCACAACTTGTGTACTTCCAATACCTTTGTTGGGAAGGTTTGTTTCTTTTGCGGATTGACTTGCTTCGCTTGAACTAGAACTCCCAGTCATTTGCCCCGTCCCCGACGCCACCGTGATGGTAGAGGCAGTGCTGCTTGTGCTGGCGCAGACAGTTTGAAACTCGGTGACGTGAGTGTCTCTCACATTCGGGCTTGACTGTTTCTGATCTCCTTGGCCAGGACTGGTCTTCACCTGAACCGACATGGATATTCTGTTTACTTCTCCTTCTCCTCTTCTTTCCCCTCGAGCCCCTTCTTCCTTTGCTCCTCTTACCCCTTCCTTTTCTCTGCCTCGTACTTTCCCTAATCCTTCCCTTCCTCCTTCCCTTCCCCCTCCACCCCCTCCTCCTCCTCCTCCTCCTCCTCCTTTTCCTCCTGCTGCACTTGAATCAACATTCTGGTCGTCCCGGAAACTGTTGAATTTCTTGATGATATTCTGAACTTTGTTGGGCCCCTGCATATCGTCCACGCCTAAGAACTCCCGGTGGCCGTCGTCTCCTCGCCCTACTACACAACCTTTGTCTGTGACCTCCGTCCGGCCTGAGAGCCGCGAGCTGACGTGCACGAGCGAGACACGACCGGCGGTGCTGGAGGTAAGTGTCCTCGGCATGTCGTTGGCGCCGGTGCCTGGAGGTTGAAGGTCACCCCTGTTTGTCTCTGCCCTTGTGTGTTTGCCCGGGACACGTTCCGCACCGAAGTTTACAACCTTTACGCTGTTAAGTCGGGACTGTCGCTGCTCGTGAACCACGGAATTGGGCCTGACCGCTTTGTTTCGGCCACTGTCAACACCCATGGTTGCTCTACTCTGGTTGAAGCTCATTATACCAAAGTCATAAAGCTCGATGGCATGATAAATCTTTTCTTTGCTTCGTCCATTGTCGGCCCAGTAAGTTCAATGGTCATAATTAACGACTTTGGCCTCCAACGAAAAAGATGTCTAAATTAAGAACTCGCTGAAAACTGAATACAATGAGTACTCACGTCAGAGCAGTTTACTGATGTAGGTTATTTTCTATAATATGGAATTCAGTACACTCGAGGTGCTTAATCAGAATAAAACCACAACAGAGTCTATGTTCATACGCAATTCCACTACACTACTCTTAGCGATAAAATAAATCGTATCAATCGACACTGTCCAGCTTAGCAAAGTTGTACTTTTATTTATATAAATTTATTCGTTAAAAAAGGTATTTTCACCTTCAAGAGATTTTACTGCTACCATACATGATCACAATGAACTTATCTTCACCTTTATCAAACTTTTTAAACACGTCCAAAGAGTAAGCTGTTATGTCAGAGAAGGATGAACATCCACAGATCACTCGAAACAACCACACGTGCTCAAAAGCACAAGCAAAATAAGCACATGTGTTTCTATTTCAACTACAACAACACATGGCAAGTGTTTATAGTCTACTGATGAGTAATCCTTTCAGCTCACGATCATATTATTATCATTTTATGATGACAATAGAAGGAACACACGTCGTAGGTTCACGCGGAATCTAGTGGGACACAGATGTCATGAGACTGATCTGACACAGCGGGCATCCCGTTTCTGCCATCTGTCCCCGCGCTCAGCTACGTGTGTTATCGGCCTCACTTGGCACAGTCTCATCCACGCCGTTCTTTAATACTCAACCAAGCTTTCGCAACGGCAGAAGTACTCTCGAAGAACACGTTAGCGCATTGACATCAGGAGAACAAATTATGCCTAAATAAAACCTAAATTTGCTTGAATTAACACAATTTTAGCTTTGACATCAGGAGAACAAATTCTGCCCGAATAAAACCTAAATTTGCTTGAATGAGCACACTTTTTGCTTTTACCCAAAAGCAATTTTGCTTTTACCCAAAAGCAAAAGACTAGAGGTTTTCAAAGGTTGGTCAACAGTCGTACCATTCAAGGCTTTGTGCTAGATACATAGTCAAATATGACTTGCGAGTACTTCGCCAAGTTCACGGGCAAGGGAAGCCAAACACATACTGGATCATTACTGTCGGTGAAGGACGCGAAGGGGGCGGGGCGGCGAAGGCGAAGACAGTGTAGAGGCAATGAAACATGTCACATTATCCAAGCCGTGAGTGAAACAAGTCAAAGGACCGTTACGTGACCAGATGTTTGTTCTGTGGGCCTATCGGTTGTGATGTCATGTCAGTCTGTGGGAGGAAAAAAAGAACGTTCAAATAATCAATCAGCGCGTCAGTTTACTTTATCTTTCATGTACAAAAAGGTAAATACTATTCTTGAGCGTGCACGCTCACAAATGAGAAGTCTATAGACCAACCTTTTTGCAGTGTATGATAATAAAATTGTCATAGTATTACATTAAAAAAACAGAAAAGATAACTCTGTAAATAGAAGTATGGACAAAAGATTCACATAAAAACACACGTATGCACATAAACTTACATACACACCCAGTATCTATCTGTCTGTCTGTCTGTCTGTCTGTCTGTCTGTCTGTCTGTCTGTCTGTCTGTCTGTCTAGCTCTGTGTCGTCTGTCTGTCT